TTTGATCCATACCAGCTATAGAAAAACACAAATTTAGTAGTGACCCTAGTCAACAAAAATAGTAACAGGTCTTCATAGTTAAACACATTTTGGGGACGTGGCCACAGGAGTTACTACTGTCCTTTGTATTTTGATACAAGGCCCTGGCAGCCGGGAGGGAGAAGGATGAAGGGGATGCCTCCAGCAGGGATGATGCCTCTCCACGCACAACACAGACGGCGCAGAGAGGGAACATCAGGAGAAGGAAACGCTGGGTCCTCGTCATCGGAGACTCCATCCTAAGTGGAGTGGAGGGTCGCATCTGCTGACCCGACCCCATGGCACGAGAAGTCTGCTTCATGCCTGGGGCTCGGATTCGGGATATCACAGAGAAGATCCCGGCCTACATTCGACCCTCAGACCAGTACCCCGTGGTTCTCATCCATGTGGGAACAAATGACATGGCCAGAGGCAACACAGACCTCATCATGAAGGACTTTGAGGCCCTGGGGGCGAAGCTTAAGGAGACAGGGGCGTATTCTCCCGGTGAGTAGGCGCGGATGGTGACACGAGGCCTGCATTGGCGAGGTCAACCGGCGGTTATGGAGTTGGTGCCGCCAGGCAGGCCTCAGGTTCCTGGGTAACAACCCATACTTTCGCACAGGTGACTCGCTGGGGTGGGATGGGCTACACCTTTCTCCTAAAGGCAAGCATGTCTTCTCTTCCAGGTTGGCTGATCTCGTGCGGCTCTCTTTAAACTTGCTTCGCCGGGAGATGGGGCCACAGGAGGACTTGAGGACACCTCCCAACCAAGACAGATGACATACACAAGGAGTACCCAGGTAAGCAGCAGGGGTCCAGAGAGTCCTGAGAATCAGGGGGTGGCATACACACCAATTCAAGGCCTTAAATGCCTCTACACCAATGCTTGTAGTATGAGGAATAAGCAGATACGGAACTAGGGCTAGCAGCAAGGACAACAAAAAGTCCTTTTTTAAATACATAGGGAGTATGAAGAAAGCACCGGGTAACATGGGGTCCCTGCGGGATACTCTAGGCAATCTGGTGGTTGCACCAGAGAAAAAGGCAGACCTTTTTAACATTTTCTTTGCCTCCATTTCCTTGTGCAGGAACCAGGACTCCCGCACCGAGATTCAGGATGGACTCAGGAAAGACTCTGACAGGCCTAGGATTGGGGAGGACCAAGTTAGGGAACTTCTGGAGGGGCTGGACATGTTCAAATCAGCAGGTCCAGATGCTTTTCACCCCAGGGCGCTGAGGGACTTGGCAGGAGTTATCGTGGGGCCCCTGGCACGGCTTTATGAGCAATCATGGTGCTCTAACCAGGTGCCTGGAAGAGGGCCAACATGGTCCCCATTTGCAAAAAAGGGAGAAGGGAGGACCCGGGCAACTCTAGGCCCTTTAGTCTTACTTCCATCCTGGGGAAGCTCTTTGAGAAGATTTTCCAGGAGCACATCTGGGAAGGACCAGCAAAGGGGACAATGCTCAGGGGCAACCAGCATGGGTTCATTAGGGGCAGGTCCTGTCAGACCAACCTGATTGCCTTCTACGATCAGGTCACAAAATCACTGGACGCAGGTGTTATGATGGACATAGTCTTTCTGGACTTCAGGAAGGCCTTTGACACCATCTCCCACCCCCATCTCATTAAAAAGCTGGGCGACTGTGGCACTGATGCCTACACAGTCAGATGGGTCGCAAATTGTCTGAGGGACCGCACCCAGAGAGTGGTGGTGGACGGGTCATTTTTGACCTGGAGGGAAGTGAGCAGTGGGGTCCCCCAGGGCTCGGTCCTTGGGCCCGCACCGTTCAATTTCTTTATTAGCAACTTGGATGATGGGGTGAAGAGCAGCCTGTTTAAATTCGCTGATGACACCAAGATTTGGGGTGAGGTGGGCATGCTAGAAGGGAAGGACAGATTACAGCAGGACCTGGACAGGTTACAGGGGTGGGCGGATGAGAATAGGATGGGATTCAATACTGACAAGCGCAGGGTGCTGCACTTGGGCAGTAGGAACCAGCAGCATGCCTACAGGCTGGGGAACTCCCTTCTCGAAAGCATGGTGCCAGAAAGAGATCTTGGTGTCATTATTGACTCCAAGATGAACATAGGCCAACAATGAGAGAACATGGTCAGTAGGGGTAATTGCACCTTGTCCTGCATCCACAGATGCATCTCGTGCAGGTCCAAGGAGGTGATCCTCCCCTTCTGTGCAGCACTGGTCAGGCCGCAGCTGGAGTGCTGCGTCCAGTTCTGGGTGCTGCACTTCAAGAGGGATGTGGACAACATGGAGAGGGTCCAGAGGAGGCCACTCGCATGATCTGGGGGCAGCAGGGCAGGCCCTACGAGGAGAGGCGATGGGACCTGAACCTGTTCAGCCTCCACAAGAGAAGGTTGAGGGGGGATCTAGTAGCCGTCTATAAACTTACAAGGGGGAACCAGCAGGGTTTGGGAAATACCTTGTTCCCCCGATCACCTCCCGGAGTAGCAAGGAATAACAGCCATAAGTTGCTAGAAAGCAGGTTTAGACTAGATATCAGGAGGTGCTACTTCACTGTCAGGGCGGCTAGGATCTGAAACCAACTTCCCTACCCTGGGGGTCTTTAAGAGAAGGCCCGACGTTTACTTGGCTGGGGTCACTTGAACCCAGTTTTCTCTCCTGCCCAGGGCAGGGGGTCAGACTAGAAGATCTACAAGATCTTTCCGACCCTACATCTATGAATCTATGCTATTGGGTGTTGTATGTACATAGTTTATATTTGCTGGGGGGGGGGGGGG